ATCACAGATGTCCCCACATGCAGTAAGGCCACAATGCAAGGCCTCCCTGGGACACCACTTGTCCTCCTTGGTGTTCCAACATTACAGATCATGGCCAGACCCTCATTTTGCTTCTCAGGATACATAATGCTGGCCCTACAGGAAGGACTCAATAAATAAAATCCCACCTCCCCTGGAGACCACAAGCAGCCAGTGGAACTGAGAGGCACACACTGGTCTCCTCAAACAACTCCTATTTAAGCTACAAGGTGTCAAATGAGCCTCCAGTGGGGCCAGGGGGCTGATTAATCTGGCTTTGGTTAAAATCTGGATTCATGCTCCTGGGGACACACACTCCATGCACCCCCAACACAGGCCCCTCCACTGCCTTTATTAGCTGCAATGGGGAAGCCCTATAAGTTCACCATGGGGCCCTCAGCCCTCAGGTCAAGAGACTTCTTCACTTGGGCGGGAGGCAGTGTGCCTGTTCCCTAGAAGTCCCAGTCACCACCAAGGCTTAAGTTAGTGTGAAGGCATCACTGGCTTAATGTGGTGTGAGGCCTCAAACTAGCAATATTAGGTGCTGCTGTGAATGGGGGCAAAGCAGGAGGGCTCTGAGTAGCCTAAACCCCAAGTTCCACCCTGATGTGCCCACAGCCCTTCTTACCACGGCACCTTATTATCCCTGACTAGTGGGCTCCATCTATTTCCCTGCCAGCCCATGAATAAGCCAGTCACACCCTCCTGCAGAAACAGGGGCTCCTCCACCTTCTTGAGATCACAGAGTGCCTCCCACAGCCCCTGCAGGCTCATGCTGCTCCCAAGGAGTCCCTTGTGCGGGCCCTACACAGCATCTGCTATCCCCTCTCAGGCTAGGGGGACATGTGATGACAAACCTGCTGTATTTCTCAACAGTCCAGGGCTGGGCGCCCTGGGTTCAGTCATCCCCATAACCCTAGGATGGGAATCCTCCCTCACCAAGGGAAGGCAACAGGATGGCCTCATCCCCTGCGGCACTCAATCCAGGCTTCAATCCCTTACCTCACAGAACTCTCCACATCCTCGCTTCTCTCTCCTGCCAGCCCCCTGCCGTCCTCCCTGTCTAGGCTGCTCCATATCTCTGCTAAGGCACGATCCGTGTCAGACCCTCCCTCTTCTCTACCCTGACCCTACTTCCATGGGGCCCAAGGTTCCTGACCACTCTACAGACCAGCACTATGTCTGTGGACCACCAGTTTGAACTTCTGCTATGTGTAGTGCAGACTCATCACAAAGAATGGGGTTCTTTCTTCTTCATGTGAACACATTCCCAAACCTTGTAATATATGGGCACCTAGGGGCTGGAGGGCTGGATGAGAGGCAGCTTCTGTTTCAACAAAAGACACGGGCTCAGAGCCTTAAAAGAAAGAGTATTAATCTCACTACATCAAAGCAATATGCAGGGCGAAAAAACCACCAAAAGCAAAGTCAAAAGACAGATAGAAAAATGAGAAACATATTTATGATCCATATCGCAATTAAAGGGCCAATTGCCCTATATATAAAGAGCCCTTAGGTATCAATAAGAAAAAGGACAGCCACTCCATAAAAATATGGGCAAAGAATAGAAGCAAATGCCCAGAGATATTCAACTTTACTCATTAATCTAAGAAATGCAAATTACACTGCAAGGGGCCTCGAGAACGGCCCAGTGCCTACACGCCATGTAATCTCCTCTTGAACACAGGCTGAGTTCAGTGACTTGCTTGTAGCCAAAAGAAGAAAGATGTTCTTCTGTGGGGAGGTTACAAAAGGCAGGCTTTTGTGTCTTGCTAGCAGACGCTGCTTCCTTCTCAGACTGCATGCTTTGATGAAGTAGCCATGCTGGACACGTCCAGGGGGGAAAGTACTGAAGGTGGCCTCTGGGCAACAGCCAGTGAGGAACTCAGTCCAACAACTCACCAGGAGCTGAATCCCTCCCACAGCCATGTGAGCACTCCAGGAAGATGCCTCCGCCGTGGCCCAACACCTGGACTATGGCCTCCTGAGAGGCCTGGCAGCAGAAAACCCAGCTAACCAGGGTTCGTGGCCCACAGCACCCACGAGATGATAAGTGAATGCCATTTCAAGCTGCTAACTTTGGTGATAACATGTTACATCCAGATGGAAACTAATAGAGCGTACAATGAAATGCAATTTTCCATCTACCTGATTATTCAAGATCAAAGGATCTGATAATAAAAACTGTGTTGCCAAGTGCTGGGAATCAGGCATTTTCCTTTGGTGCTGGAGGGAGTAAAACTGTCCCCACCCCCAGGGCAAGTGATTTGAAGATATCTGTCAAAGTGCAGGCACTTCTACTGGCCACAAGCACTTCTACTGGCAATAATTCATCCAACTCACTTACTCAGGAGCCCGTTAAATGTCAAGAAGATTTATTGTAGCTTTTGTGAGAGGAATATCATTTGAAGTTGTCAGGAGCTGCATCGTGCCCCCTCCCCTAAACTGAAGTTCTAACCACCCTCATACTTCACAATATGACTGTATGTGGTGCCAACAAATTGGGCTTTAAAAAAAAAAAGATTTTACTTATTTATTCATTCAGGAGAGAGAGAGAGAGAGAGAGGCAGAGACACAGGCAGAGGGAGAAGCAGGCTCCATGTAGGGAGCCCGACGTGGGACTCGATCCTGGGTTAGCTGGATCATACACCCTGGGCTGAAGGCGGTGCTAAACCACTGAGCCACCAGGGCTGCCCCAAATCGGGCTTTAAAGAGGTATTAAATTGTAATGAGGTCATAAGCGGAGGCCTCAATCCAATCTGACCAATATCCTCACAAGAAAAGGACATTTGAACATAGCACAGAGGGAAGGCCACACGAGGGCACAGGGAGAAGATGGCCAGCGGCAGCCAAGGGCAGGGAACTCAGGAGAGACCAACCCGAGGACAGACACCTGGATTTGGCATTTCCAGCCTCCAGAACCATGAGAAAATAAGTCTCTCTCATTTAAGCCATTTTTAATGGTTGTTCAGTGTTCCATTATAGAAATACACCAGAATTTATTTAGCCATTTCTGTTCAGATGTGCTTTTAAATTTAATATAATAGTGTGCTAAGGCTGCCATCACAAAGTGGCTTAAATGTTCTGCTCATGGCTATGCGACCTCTCCCAATGTAATTTATAAACTTGTGTGTGGCGCACATTTCCTAAACCACTGTGGGAGACCATATACACATGTATGTATACATGCACACGTGTGATGGATGGGTGTGTGTGTGTGTGTGTGTGTGTGTGTGAGGGACATGTGCTCAGTGATGTCATACTGACAGGAACATGCAATAAAAGAGGCTTTTTGAGAATTTCAGGTGTAGAGCACAGACTGCAGGGTGCAGGACCTGAAGGAAGGAGGGTGGTGAGGAGGCAGGGGAGGAGATGGGAGTGGGGTGGGGAGGAATCAACCAGTTATGGGCACCAGGTCACCGGAAGAGGGGGCTGAGGGATCTGGAGGTCACAGGGACACCGAACATGGGGGATGGGGCTGAATCAGACTGGGATGGGGACTCCAGTTTAGGAGAGCCATCCTGGGGCCTGACAAGGTCCAGGTGGATCCTGGAAATGGAGCTTGTGGTCACAGGTGTGATGTCATGAGGAACTGGACAGCTGGGTGCTGGAAGGGTCTCTGAGAACCTCAGACTAGGGTGGGGCCAGGCAGGTGATGGAGTGGAGTGGGATGATGTGATAAGAGGGAATGTGGGGATAGTGGCATCTAAAGGAGGCAGCAACCACTGCCTATGGCCATGAGACAATGTGGGTTCAACATAGTTACCAAATTTTCAAGAGGAAACAGAAATTCAGACTTATATATGAAATCTGATATTAGCATTGCTTAAAAAAAAAAAAAAAGGTAAACCACCAGCCTTGGGGCACCCAGGTGGCTCAGTCAGTGGGTGTCTGTCTTCAGCTCAGATCAGGATCCCAGAGTCCTGGATCAAGTCCCGCATTGGGCTCCTCGATCAGCAGGGAGCCTGCTTTTCCCTCTGCCTCCGCTCCCCTTTGCTTGTGTGCTCACTCTCTGACAAATAAATAAAATCTTAAAAAAAATAAGAAATAAACCACCAGCCTTACAGCTAAGTGGCAGAACTGGGATTCAAATGAGTGAGGGGCAGGGCCTAAGTTGACACCCCCCCCACACACACACACACAGAGTCCCTAGAGCCTTGAGCGAGGCATGGCTGGGAGCTGTCACGTGTGTCAGTCCTGCTTCTTCCAGCCTGCCCCACTCTATGATCTTTGTTCTCTGTTGCTTGCTGAGTGATAGGACAGATCTGGCCAGTCATGACTTAGAATATTCTTAGGTATTATGCTTTTCCAGGGAGGGGTTCTGAAGATCTCCCTGATGGAAGGCTGAGGCTTTAATGGTAGAACAGGAAAGGCATGGTACTTTGGTAACTTTTTTGTCTGATGGGTTCTCACTAGGTGGCATTCTGGTAGGGCTGCAAATCAAGGGGCCCTGCCTCCCCTCAATAAATGATGACACTGTGAGTCCAGCTAGCCAAGCAGAGAATGTCCTCCCTCAGGGAATAGTGACTGGAACAGGAGTAGACATCAGGATCAATTTTTAGAGATTGACAAAGTAGTCTCTCTTTATTCTAAGAACACATGTACTAAGGATTAACTGCCAAGGGCCATCCTCCCCTCTAGGTAAGGAATCTCGCCTGAAAATAAAACACAGCTAAATGACAGAAAAAAGGCCAGCATCCTGATATCATCTAAGCACCTGGATCAGGCCATGCCTGATATCCAACCCCTTGGCTATTTCGACTATATGCGCTTATAAATTGTCGTTTTAAAGCTTAACCTGGGTTAAATTTAGTCTCTGTCACCAGGAACTACAAGAATCTTGCCCAATTTGTAACAAAATGGTATTTGCGAAGAGAAGGTCCTGCCCCTTGTCTCTCAAGCTAGACTCAACATGCCTACTCTTCAGGTATGAAGTTCAACAATGCCCCAAACAGCACCATTACCATTTAGTTCCCTCTTACCTGGAAATAGTTCAGAAGTACGCCAGCCCCAGAGAGTCCCAGTCCTGCAAACAGGAAAGGCACTATCACCTGAAGGCCAATGGACAAGGCAGTCTCCCTGCTAAGCTCAGACCCCGGTGGTTTCAGGACTACCACATCTGATACACTCAGAGGTCCATCTTCTGAGGCTGCAGAGAGTCTTCCAGGACTGAGGGTATGTGGCAGAACCAGCTCCTCTGGCCTCCGCTGTCGAGTCTCTGTCCCATCCATGTGAGCAGAGCTGAGCCCCGGGCAGCCTTAACCTGGGAGACACAAGGTAACAGAGGCTGTCAGTAGAGCGCTTGACCGTAGGGCTGATGCCCTTGGGCCCTCCTGCCCAGCAGACAGCTCACCCAGGGACTGCTCCAATGGTCTCCTGCAACCCCTATTTAAACAGCTTTTTATTTAATTGGCACATGTTTGAGGAAAAAAACACTTTCTAGAAGAGAGCACTAAATATTTACAAATTACACTTAGCAAAACTGGTGGCATAGGGAGCTCTGAGAATTCTCTTCTCCATAAAAGAACAAGAAAGCCAGTAAAAACTATCAGGATCCACTTGTTCAGAACTCTGGAAATTAATCAAAGGCTTGCAGCAGTGCAAGGAAGAAAGAAATGCTGAGTCCTCAGCAGGAACAGCAACACGGGTGCCTGTGATAAGGTAACTGTGCCTCAGTCCCACCTCTGCTTTCTGGCTCTGCAGCAGTCTTGAGAACCAACAGCCCAGGGAGAACAGAATGAGCTCCAGCTCTTTCAAAGCCTCATTCTCAAAAAAAACAATGGTCATTATTTGACCTAGCAGGTGGAATTGCCATGTACAGACTGGCGGTATCTCACCCAACTTACAATTCTTTCAGGAGAAAATGCCTTCTGCCTGGGGAACATTGGTTGAAGCAATCAGAGGTACTACACAGCTGGCTGAGGCAATGGGTGGCAGCTGGGGCCCATAATAACTAACCAAAAAGCCTAAAAGGAAAAGCTGGGGAACGAGCTGTCTTTGTAAATTCTGAACAGTTGCTAAATATTGCAGGGAATCTAGCTGGCCATTCACATTCAGCTGGGCATCTGCTCAGGAAATAGCTGAGGAGGCCCGAAGCTCTGACCTCCAGCTCATCTGGAGGCTCTGCAGGAGCAGGAGGGGGCCGCACTGCCAGCGCCTGACGTGTGCGGAGCCCCCCAGGCAAAGACGGTGAGATTCCTGGGGTCCACGCACATCATTCCAGGAGATCTCCTGCCACGCCTTACCTGACCACCAGCAGAGGTACAACACAGAATGCAAAGCAAGAATGCAATGCTGAAGAAGAATTCAGCAAAGTCACTAAAGACAACCCCAGCAAGCAGCAATAACAAGAAACCCTGAGAAGAGGGGAGCATCTGATTTCCAGAGTTGTCACATTCCAGAATTTTAAATGTCCAGTTTTCTTTTTTTTTTAATTTATTTATGATAGGCACACAGTGAGAGAGAGAGAGGCAGAGACACAGGCAGAGGGAGAAGCAGGCTCCATGTACCGGGAGCCCGACGTGGGATTCGATCCCGGATCTCCAGGATCGTGCCCCGGGCCAAAGGCAGGCGCCAAACCGCTGCGCCACCCAGGGGTCCCAAATGTCCAATTTTCAACAAAAAATATGAGACCTCCTAACTCTGGGAAACGAACTAGGGGTGGTGGAAGGGGAGGTGGGCGGAGGGTGGGGGTCACTGGGTGGCGGGCACTGAAAGGGCACTTGACAGGATGAGCACTGGGTGTTATTCTGTATGTTGACAAATTGAACACCAATAAAAAATAAATTAAAAAAAATATGAGACCTGCAAGGAACCATGACACAGTGAGCTAGGCACAGGGATGAAAAGCAATTAATAAAATATATCATGAGGAAGCCCAGACATTGGACTAACTAGGCAAGAACTTTAAATAGCTATTTTTAAAAAAATAAAAAATAAATCAACTTTTTAAATACGTTCAAAGAACTTGGGTAACCATGCATGAAGAACTAGAAAAGTATGAAAATGAAGTCTAACCAAATAAGGACTATCAATAAAGAGATAAAAACTACTTTTAAAAGAACCAAATAGAAATTCTGGAGTCATAAAATAAAATAACCAAAATGTAAAATTCCCTCGAGGAGTGCGCCAGTTGACCTGGGCGGAAGAGTAAGGAACCACTGAACTGAAAGATAAACCAGCAGAGATTATCCAACCCGAAGAACAGAAAGAAAACGAGATGAAGAAAAATGAACCAGTCCTCAGTGGGCTACGGGACACCATCAAAGCAGCCAGCGTAACAGGAGGCTCAGAAAGGGATGAAAGATCAGAATATCTGAAGACATAACAGGCAAAACCTTTTCAGATACGGTCAGAAAGATTTCCATATTCAAGAAGCTCAACAAATTCCAAGTAAAGTAAATTTAGAGATCCACACAAAGACACACTATCATCAAACAATGACAAAGAATCTTAAAGGCAGGGAGAAGCCCCCCTTCATGCACCAGGGCTCCTCAAGAAGATTAACAGCTTAATTCTCATCAGAAACCACCAAGGAAGAAATGGGTAGGAAATATCAGAAAGGGAGACAGAACATAAAGACTCCTAACTCTGGGAAACGAACTAGGGGTGGTGGAAGGGGAGGAGGGTGGGGGGTGGGGGTGAATGGGTGACGGGCACTGAGGGGGGCACTTGACGGGATGAGCACTGGGTGTTCTGTATGTTGGCAAATTGAACACCAATAAAAAATTTATTAAAAAGAAAAGAAAAAAAAAACCACCAAGGCCAGAGGCAACAGGATGACATATTCCAAGGCTTAAAGAATGAGACCACCAATCGAGAGCTCTGTAAGGAGCAAACAAAGGTAGCCTTCAAAAATGAAGGACAAATTGAGAGATTCCCAGACGAACAAAGACCAAGAGAATTTGACACTAGCACACCTGCCTACGGGGAACACCAAAGAAAGTCCTTCAGGCTTCAACTGACAGGACCCAGATAGCAGTTCTTATCCACAAAAAGAAATCCAGAGCGTGAGCAAAGGTAACTATATAGAGAAATAAAACAAACAAAAAAAACAGTATAAATGTATTTTTGTTAGTAGCTCTTTTTTCTCTTATCCAATCCAAAGACAGCTGCGTAATTCAGCAATTATATTGGTGTAAATATGTATTTTCTGTTCTCTTGAATCATACATTTTGGAGGGGTAAATTTTATGGTATGTGATTTGTAGCTCAATAAAAAAATATTCGTGAATTATTTATGGAAAATAAGGTCAAGGAGCAGAAGGCCACCAGCTTCCCGAAGTGTCTGAGCCCCTGTCCAATAACAGCCCCTGCTCTTTATCACAGAGGCCCAGTGTCCAAGCTCCTCGGTTTTTGTTTCATTCCTTCCTTAGTGTTACCAACTGCGAGTGCAGTCCTCAACATAGTGTTCTGCTCACTTTACGATTTAGATTAGCAAAGTCACACTCCATCCATCCATATCTGATTTGTTTAGCCCGACCTTAAGTTTCTCACATTCATCTTTGTGTCTGGTGCAAGAGAGTGGTCTAGTTCCATTCTTCTGCACGTGGCTGTCCAATTTTCCCAGCACCATTTACTGAACTGTCCTTTGTCCAGTGGAGAGTCTTTCCTGCTTTGTCGAATATTAGTTGACCATAGAGTTGAGGGTCCACTTCTAGATTCTCTATTCTGTTCCATTGATCTATGTGTCTGTTTTTGTGCCAGTACCACACTGTCTTGATGACCACAGCTTTGTAGTACAACCTGAAATCTAGCATTGTGATGCCCCCAGCTCTGGTTTTCTTTTTTAATATTCCCCTGGCTATTCGGGGTCTTTTCTGATTCCACACAAATCTTAAGATGATCAGCCAGACTGTGGGACCATCTCTTTTCACTGCTGCATAGAATGTGACATGCCATGATCCCCCGTTCTACTCTTGAAGGACATCCTTTCCAAAATAAAAATCACTTGATTTTTTTTAAGATTTTATTTATTCATGAGAGACAGAGAGAGAGAGAGAGAGAGAGAGAGAGAGAGAGAGAGAGGCAGAGACACAGGCAGAGGGAGAAGCAGGCTCCATGCAGGGAGCCCGACGTGGGACTTGATCCCAGGACTCCAGGATCATGCCCCGGGCCGAAGGCAGGCACTCAACCGCTGAGCCACCAGGCAACCCACTTGATTGATTTTTAATACACAAGTAATGTGTTCATAAGAAATACAATTTAGAAAACACAAAAAGGTATAAATATGGAAGTTTAAATCATCAACATTTTTTTAAAAGATTTTATTTATTTAGTAGGAAGTATGGGGGGTGCGGGGGGGGAGAAACAGCACCCCCCCCAGGCTGAACAGAGTGCCGGTTGCGGGGCTCCATCCCAGGACCCTGAGATCATGACCTGAGCTCACAGCAGACGCCTCACTGCCTGAGCCACTGTGGCGCCCCAAGTCATCAACAATTTTACTGCCCCCAAATAAGTAATGCTAAATCTAGTTATATACCCTTCCAGTGTACACAAACATACACACTATTTTTTTCATGTTCTAGATCCCAGGCTGTTTTATTTAATAAAATGTATATACCTGTCCACCTCTAGTTTTAGCACAGATGTAATTTTTATGGCTTCTTATGTCATCCTTGACAGTGCGCCCAGGTGTTGGTAAAACTTTCTTTTCCACAGGATTTATAGACTGAAGAAGAGCAGAGAGAAGAACCCAGCACAGACAAGTTGCTACATGTTTTAACTTGTATCCACAAGCTGCCCAAGGCCACCAGCCCCATTTCCTTATTGGCAGGGGGGCCACGGCCTGCACTGTGCACAACAGGTTTATTGAGTCAGTAGAGACGCTGGGCCTGTGAGCACAGTCTGAATGAGCAATGGGTAAGCAGAGCACAGGGGAAGACTCACATCTTTTAGGGACACCTCTGAAGGTAGGAACAATCCCCACACACAAGCCTATAGAACTTGGGCCAAGGCAGGCTTTGCTCGGCTCAAAAAGGCAGTAAACCACACACACACACACACACACAAAGAAAGAAAAAAGAAAAGAAAAGAAAAGAAAAGAAAAGAAAAGAAAAGAAAAGAAAAGAAAAGAAAAAAAAAGGTAATGGGAATTACTTATTCCTGCATGACTCCACTGTCCTAAAGGCTTTGTAGCAGCGCCAGCAGTAGGATAGGAAATGTCTGCTCCTCTTGCCACACCAGGGCAGTGCCACCCTGGCCTCCACCCTGGTCCTGCCCCCACAGGAGCCACCCTTACCTGGCTGGTCCAGGCACAGGTCAT